GCGTTATGCCTTTCACCCTTGATGATGATGGAGCTTATGGTTCTCAGAAACAATACACCCGTCAGTTTCCATCAACCAGAGCAATCCATGCAGAAGGCAAGGGGCCCCCTCAAAGCAAGAGGAGTATTGTTTTAGGTCCAATTTTTCTTATTGTTCTCAAAATCATTGTAAGGTAGACAGGGTTCTGTTAAGCTTTTCTTTTCCTCCAGCTCTAAGAGGCCATGTGGAAGGAATTTATTGATAACTGTTTTGATTTCCCCCCCCCCGAAAGGTACAGGATTTTAAGTGGCACCATTAGTGAGCTTGCCTAGTTTTGCTTCCTGTGAAACACTGAGTGACCACATCAGTGTACACGCTTTTGATAGGGCATATTTCAGGGGACAAAAAAAAAAATGCTTCTTTAGATCAGAACCCAGTGAGGTGATTTTTTTGTTTTCGTTAGCTAGTTTTTAAACTAGACTTGGTAGGAGGACTAATGATGATGGCAATGCAGGGGAAATGGTGGTGAGTTCAGATATCCAGCTTTGACACCTCACACTTTAGTTTCTTCTGTATGATTCAAAAGAATGTTTCCCAAGGCCCTTGATCACAATGGACCCTGGTTTTCATAGAATTGCCAAAAGTCAGAGCCATACTGCTGCTTTTCCATAATATTTTCTTTTTGTTTCTTTCCTTTGAATTTCTACAGGGCTGCAAAGTATGCCAGGGGAGTATGTAGCCCGGGGTGGTCCAATGGGTGTGAGTATGGGACAACCATGTTATACCCAACCCCAGATGCCCCCCCATCCTGCTCAGCTTCGTCATGGGCCCCCCATGCACACGTACATTCCTGGACACCCTCACCACCCAACAGTGATGATGCATGGAGGACCGCCCCACCCTGGAATGCCAATGTCAGCATCAAGCCCCTCGGTTCTTAATACAGGAGACCCGACAATGAGTGGACAAGTCATGGACATTCATGCTCAGTAGCTTAAGGGACTATGCATTGTCTGCAATGGTGACTGATTTCAAATCACATTTTTTGTTGTTTTGTTTTTTTTTCTGCAATGACTATGGAGTTCCATTCTTGACATCTACTTTGGACCAAGGAGCATCCCTAATTCTTCATAGGGACTCTTAAAATGCAGGAAAACCAACTGAAATCAATTTGGGGGACATGCAAAATAACTATATAAGACATTGAAAGAACAAAGAGTGAAATATTGTAAATGCTATTATACTGTTATCCATATTACGTTGTTTCTTATAGATTTTTTAAAAAAAATGTGAAATTTTTCCACACTATGTGTGTTGTTTCCATAGCTCTTCACTTCCTCCAGAAGCCTCCTTACATTAAAAAGCCTTACAGTTACCCTGCAAGGGACAGGAAGGTCTGGTTTGCAGGGTTTTTAGAGCATTAAAATAACTATCAGGCAGAAGAGCCTTTCTTCTTGCCTAGGATTTCAGCCATGTGCGCTCTCTCTTTCTCTCTCTTTTCCTCTCTCTCCCTCTCTCTAGCCTGGGGCTTGAATTTGCATGTCTAATTCATTTACTCACCATATTTGAATTGGCCTGAACAGATGTAAATCGGGAAGGATGGGAAAAACTGCAGTCATCAACAATGATTAATCAGCTGTTGCAGGCAGTGTCTTAAGGAGACTGGTAGGAGGAGGCATGGAAACCAAAAGGCCGCGCGTGTTTAGAAGCCTAATTGTCACATCAAGCATCATTGTCCCCATGCGACAACAACCATCACCTTATACATCACTTCCTGTTCTGTGCGGCTCAAAAACATAGACTGAAGATTTATTTTTAATATGTTGACTTTATTTCTCAGCAGAGCATTGGTCATGTGTGTATTTTTCCATAGTCCCACCTTGGAGCATTTATGTAGACATTGTAAATAAATTTTGTGCAAAAAGGACTGGAGAAATGAACTGTATTATTGCAATTTTTTTTTGTAAAGTAGCATTTTGGTGTGAGTTGGCATGCATACAAGGTTTACTAAGTGGGATAAGCTAATTATACTTTTTGTTGTGGATAAACAAATGCTTGTCAATAGCCTTTTTCTATCAAGAACAACAAGGAGCTAATTATTAATAACAATCATGGCACAATGAGTCTTATAGCATTTTAATGGAATTTGGATTGTATGGGAACTCCAAGTTAAGTTGTAGTCATTGAGCACAGTAATGAAATCAGAATCCATAATAAAAGCAAGCCTATTTTTGTCATTCTGACTTTACTACTTAAAAAAAATGCTCCCCCAATTTTAATGATTAGCATAGTAAATATAACAGTTAGCTGCCTGAGCCATATATATAGTTGAATATATAGTAACCACTGAGCAAATTATTTAACAATAACCACCGGTTTAAGATGACTTAATGAACCGGTAATATCAGCAAAATTAAGAGTAAAAGTCACCAAACTAGCTGTAGACTCAGATTATGTTTGACATTCACCTACACCACCAGTGAAATTATGCTTGCATACAGTGGCAAAGCTAAAGCCCACAGTCAGTCTTTCACCAAGGATATAATCTAGGACAAGCAGTACATGTTTATTAAGAAATTAACTACATAAAATTGAAGAGGCCAGACTTCAAAATCTAATTTTTATAAATATGCTCTATGTTCTCATTGGATAAAACTGGTTATTAACCAATTTTCCAGAACAGCTGTACAGAATTTCTGCATGGCAGCCAGCTAAATGGTTCAAAATAACATGTTTAAGCTGCAATAGCTTATAATTTCACTTAAATAAAATCGCTGCTCTAAAAAGTGCTTCGCAAAGCTAAGAGAAATACACAAATATTTTAATTAAGGCAAATTCATTTCTTAAAAATAAGCCTTTTGGTTGCTTTGGGAACAAAGGATGGGTCAGAGGCCTTAAACCCCAGTCTGACATTCAGGCCCTTGTCACCTTATAAACCCGCCCCCAGTAATCCTGTTTTCTGTTTGGAAAGAGAACCAGCTGTGGGCTGTCTTTACTAGGTGCCGGTGAGTCACTGCCTGTCTCACCTGCTGGGGCAGCAGTGTGCACTCTCACCTTTTGTTTATGGGGCCTTGTTTCGGAACACGTGGATGTGCAAGAGGGAGGCCTAGCCTACTGCACGCAGCCTGGTCCCAGCGCGGCCACCCGCCTCACCCCCACCCCCAGTGACCGGGCCTTCTAACTTTCCAATTTTGTCCCCGAGACAGTTCTACGACTGCATTAAGTAGTCCCGTATTAGTGAAATCATTTTCTGTGATGGTTGGTTAGTAGCAGTTAACAACCATTTATTTACTTTTAAAATTAATAATAAACTTTATAAACTAACCATCCTTTTACTCCTGCCTCTCCAATACATGCCTGGTGAGTCAGCCTTGATTTTCTGGAGGCTCTTACCTAATGGGGGGGCGGGAGGAGCTGGGGGGGAAGGAGCGGAAAGGGGAGGCTTTAAAGGGGGGAAAGAGTGAGTGTAAGCAATTGGGGGGGATACAGAGATTGAAAAGAATCATTATCATTAACGTCCAGGAATTGGAAAAAAAATAAAACAACCTTTTTGTGTCGTGGATTCCCCCCTCGGTGTTCGGATTGTGTGAACCTCACTCCTTAGGTCTCGCTCTTTCTGCCCCCGACACCCTCCTGCTTAATGCTGTTTCAGCTTTTCCTCTTGTAAATTTCAGAGCCAGCTTTGAGGTTATTGAGGACACTTATCGGAAGGAGGGAAATAATAGAGGTGTGGAGAGTGTTTTTGATGTTTCTTAAAGGACAAAAACAAAACGCCCTCCCCTAAACAGGGCACACAATTGTACAGGGTTTTTTTTGGGGTGGGGTGGGGTGGGGGGAGGTCCGCTGGCTGAATGAGACTGTAGGACTTAAGTATTTTTTCCCAAAAATTTAAAAAATATGTTACCCAATCATATTTAATCAAATGTAATTATAACACATTCAAAATGAATAATATGCCTTGGCAGTGTTTTTACTGTTATTGTTCATTGCACGATGTTCGACTGCTTTAGAAGCACAGGAAAGAAGCAAACGCGCTACAAATGGGGAATTACCCTCGTTTAGCATTAAAATTCATTTAGATAAAATTGCCACAAACATTTAAATGGGAAGATTAGTTCCCCCTCACGCCTTATTGCACTCGCTCAATGGTTCCGTTAAGAACATTTTACACGTTGGAAATTCCGTCTTCTCAGACGGCTTGCTGTTTCCTAGTTACACACATTCAAAGCAAAGGCTGCAGCACCGGCAGCCGCAGCAGCGGCAGCAGGGAGGAAAAAAAAAGTTTGGCAACTGCTCTGCAATTCATCCGCTGCGCCCCCTCCTCCCTCCTCACTCACCCCCCTCCATTATGCAGTTCGCAGAGCCTCGAAGAACCAAGTTTGGTTGTACAGTATAGACAACATTAAGCTACAAAGAGAGAGAGAGAGAGAGAGAGAGAGAGAGAGAGAGAGAGAGAGAGAGAGAGAGAGAGAGAGAGAGAGAGAGAGAGAGAGAGAGAGAGAGAGAGAGAGAGAGAGAGAGAGAGAGAGAGAGAGAGAGAGAGAGAGAAGAAAAGGAAGAAGTCGGTGGGTCCCTCACTGCTTCTCCCTCTTCTGTGCAAGGCCGCCCGCACCCCGACCCCAGGGCTCCAGGCACGCTGCTTTGGATCGAGATGTTTCCAGGAAATTCGCCTCTGCTCTTGCTAGTGCGGTGGTGGCAACGTGTTAAAGGCTCAGCTTGCGAAGCCCAGGCACGGTCCAGTCCCTCCCGGCCCTCTTCTCGCCCCACCCCTCCCCCGCCGTCCCCCACCCCGGTTCTTTCTTTAGAGCGGCAGGAAAAGAGGAAAGTCGGCTTCGACTGCCACCTTTTGGGGATTTGGAAAAACGACGCGGTAGGAGGCCGGAGGGAGGCGGAGCTCGGGGATCAAGAGGTGGGTGGTGGGTGGGGAGAAACCCCCTTATGATCCTGCGTCGGAACTGGCGCCCTTAATCTGATGCTTAAATATTTGATGTGGAAAAATTATCCATAAAATTAGTTACTAACAATTTCAAATTGAAATCACTTATCGAATTATAAGCGCATTAAAGCTGCATGGATGGTATTAGGAGTTCCTTGGGAGACTGTCTCCTCGCAGGGAAAAGGGGCCTGCGAGGTTTGCCACGGAGAGAGGTGTCGTCCGTGGAGCCCTGGGGCGGATACGGGACGCGGGAGGCGGCCGGGGTGCGAGGACCCTGGCCGGGCTGAGAGAGGAAGGAGCTGGGTGCCGGATCTCACTCCGGGCAGAAGCGCTTGCTTACTGGACTACTCCCGGGACAAAGTCCAAACGTTGGGAAAGGGGAAAGCTGCTCCTTTTCGCTGGATTCCGAGCCTCCAGTGACGATGCCTTCAGCTCCACCTTTGCAGGAGGGGTGGGTGGGGAGGGGGTTGGAGGAGTGTTCGGCCAGGGTCAGGCTCCCCGTCCCTGATGAAACCGCCGCGCCGTGGCCCGCTTACCCAGCTCCAGCCGCGACTCAGCCGCCCTTGAGTTTCCCCACGCGCGACGTCTGGCCTGGGTCGGGTGTGCGGGCGAGTGAGCCTCGCCATCCCACGCTACTCCGGGCCGCTCTGGGTCTGCACCAGAGTCCTAAGCCTTTCCACTCCCCACCTGAAAGTCAAAGTCAGGAGGTGATTGACTGTCCCCGGAGACTGGTGTCTGAGCAAAATCGTGTGCAGAGAATGCCTACTGAGACACTCGGGGTCCCTTCCCTGGGAACCTCTCAGAGTGGTCTGCTTTTGCTGGCCGCTTTCTTTCTTAGGACTTTGAGAGAGGGAAGCTCCGACTTCCGAATCCCACGACGCTACGGGGAGCGAGAGCCTGGGGGGCGGGGGGTGCCTGGGACAGACAGGTTGGGCAGGAGGGTGGAGTTCCGGAGAGTAGTATTAGCACCCAGGTGTGTTAGGCGGGAGCTCCTTGGGATTACTTTTAAAAAGCCTTGCGAACTCCCCCCCCCCCAATTTGGATCCCGCAGGCCCTTGGCCCTTAGGAAGGCAGTTAAAACAGGAGTTGATGATGCAAGCTCCCAGTGGGCGTTTGGACAGTGTGGAGAGACTTGGGCTTGGGTGTGGGGTGCCCAGTCCGGTTCCGCTTCTTTCCTGCTCTTCTCGGTGCTACTCGGCGCCCACTGGCCCTTTGGCTACCCGTAGCACCGAGGGTGCACACAAAGGAGAGGCTAGGACTCCTCGGTTGTGGAGGGGGGAGCAGGGGGTTGGAAGGGAGAGCTAGGGGTCGGGCTAGGCCCAAGCCCTCACTAATAGGAAGAGGAGGGCTCTCTTTTGCATCGAGCCAGCCTTCAAATACATTTGAAACATCCTCTTCCAAGGCGGAGCTGAAAGGAAAACACAAACAATATATTGGGCAATCCGTTAGAGGTTTACGCTGTAAAGAGTCTTTGCCCTAAAAATGGCACACTAGGGATTTCTATAGGGATGGGAGGCACTTTTAAGGCCTTGGTTTTAACTGTCAGTGACTCCTGCTCTGCCCGTGCTCTCAGTCCATCTCAAGGAAATCCGACAGAGACGCCCTGGATTTAATTTTGAGCTAGTCTTCCTTCCATCGGATGTATAATTCCTGCCCCTGACCACCCACAAGCACACTCACCTCTACCCTAAAGCAGCGTGTTCATGACGACCGGTGATTTTAATTTCCAGACAGAAAACTAGTCTTAGGACATCGCCCATGAGGAGCGCAGAGGATTAAGTCACCTGCTTCATACACCACGGGGGTCTCGATCCTCTCTCGGGCGTCTTTTTTGTGGCTTGGCACTCTGGTTCCAGAAAGAAGTCAGGAACACAGTGCCTCTCTCTCCGGGTTCGAGACCTGGGGTGGCTGGCTGGCTGGCTCTTGGTTCTTGCCTAGGCCTCCCTCGCACCTCCCGCACGTTTCTCCTCCTCCACCCTAAAACTGGCAGGTTCTCCTGATTCACCTGTAGACCGGAGTCTCTAACCCCTCCCAGTCCGTGCAGGAGCGCGCGGGCGTGTGGGGGGGGGCAATCGCTGCAACCAGCTCCAGTTCAAGCCTGCCGACCTCACCCACTTTTCTTGACTTGAGTGGGTGTTGATTGCACAGAGAGATTTCCCCCTTGAAAATTCTCTGGGCATATCCTGGGATTTCAAAGAACCCGATTCCTCCATTTAGGGAGATCGACACCCACTGATAACTCCATCTCTAAGAAACCTAGAATGGCAGCAAACTCCCCAAACAGCCGCCTGCTCCCACCACCGCCGCCCCCGCTGGCACAGAGCAGCGTCTGGCAAGGCGGCGAGGAGATGGAGCCCAGCCACTAGCACAGTCCCTTTCCTGGCCCACCCGCGAGGCGCCACTTTGCCCTGGAGACTTAGTTTCCCCTTGGACAAAAATGGGGCGTGGGGGTGGTAAACAACGTGATGTCTGTGCAAACCTAGACTCCTTAGCCCCTCAGCCCACCCAAAAAACGACTTTGAGACGTGCACTTTCAGGTGTTCTAAAGTGTGAACAGCGAGGTTTGTGTGTCTAGTGAGGGTGGATGAAGGGGAGGAGTCTCCCACTGCTCGCTGCTGCAGTCTTTAATGTCTGCAATAACGAAATGTCTGTGTGGCAGCTGCTGCTGGAGCCAAAACTAACTCTTCGGAAGACGGAAAAGAGTGAAAGGCAAAGAAAGACTGTTCATTTTATTTTTTTTTCCTTTGGTGCCGTTTGGGATGTCATCTGTTTCCTTGGCGACTGTGTTCAGCCCCCGGAGCCCCTGGGCTCCGGATTGTTAGGGGGGGAAGCATGCTATTTCTGCACCGTCATTTATCACTGTCACCGCATAATGATTCCCCTTGCAGCCCCTTATTGATGTTTGTAATTGCATTATCTCATAAAGGAAGATGATCAATGAAACCAAGCCGTGCATTCTGGGGTCAGAGGAAGCCAAAGTACTGTTTGTCCCCTTTAATACAACAAGTACTCATTATCTTTAGGTCTGCATTCGAAAAATGATCTGGTCTGTGGCTGACCCTGTCGGACACCCAACACTTTCTAAAACGCGGTTTGTGTAACCTTTTGCTTAAATGCTAAATCAAGTACCTGTCTTGCATCTCAACGAAACAAATGCTGAATGAGAATGCGAAGAGCGTCTTTTGCTTTTCTTCTTCTCCCGTGTTTTGTGTTGTTTTTTCCAGGGGAGGGAGGGGCGTGATCTTCCGAAGACACCTGAGATTTTTCCACTGTAACTAGTAAGATGTGTAACGTAGGAAAGGCAACCCCATCACAGGGACCTAATGAATGAAAAGGACTGGGAGGGAAGGGAAGCAACACAGTCCGGAGGAGCTTCTAACAAGGTCGGTGTTAAGAGTGCAGAATAAAACCACATCCGGTTTAATTAATAAGAGCAATAAACTGAAATAATTCCCCATAATTCTGACCTTCCTTCTGCCTCTTACAGAGACACATCTCTTCCCTTTAGATGAATGACTGTTGTGCCTGTTCGATTCTCAACAATAAACAAATCAGTTTCATATTCTATTTCTAAAACCACCTACAAAGTCAAGCAAAGAAAAAGTTCATTTGCCCATTATGGCAGTATTTAGCAGAGTAGAAACGCCCCGCTAATACTCAATGGAGTTCATGTAATCCCATGAAAATCAAGTCATCTCATTGCAGAGGAGTAAATGAAAAATGCAAAGGAGAAAGGGTCTAAGTGTAATTTCAAACTAAATGCATTATTGGGCTGTCAGAGTGAAACCAGGATTGCTTGTGGGAAGGGTGGACATCCACTCAGTTCACATTTAACTTCAAGGTTTTAGGAAGGAAATGTGTGCCCTGGATTTGGTTATCTTTGTAATTTGTGGGACGAGGAGGCACTGAGACAGCTCTAACTCATTTAAGTACGGAACTGAACAAAAAGCTTATTTTAAGTATTTCAAGGCTATATAACCAAAAGGAAAAGTTTCTATGTTGAAAAGGAGTGCCCTCTATTATGTTAATAAGATCAAAAAGGGGGAAGGGGAAGGAAGAGGAAAAGAACAGAAAGACTAAATCCCGGTGTTTTCTTTATTAAATGGTAAAATTCTAAATTAAGGAGGTAATGTTGTAAGTGAAAAAAACAAAATGGAAAACTTTGAGCATAGTTAACACACAGACTACTTAGATAAAAGTTGGCTTGAATAATATGGCACCTTGACATTCAAGCTTAAATTGAATGATCATAAAACAAAGAGATAAGATATCCCCACATGGAAAAATAATGTTAATGACAAAGCTAGAAAAAAAGTTTTAACCATGTTGTCCATCAATTATTTCTTGACTTAGAAGGCAGAACCTTTCATAAAATATTATTACTCAGAAAAATATCAAGGCACTCTGAAATGGTGTTTTGTGTTATTTAAATGTTCTGACACTTTCCTCCCTTGAAAATGCTCAAGCCAAAATGGACACGGGGCCACACATATCTTTAGAATAAATTGTGCATTGTTAGCATAAAATATTAAGGGGATATAAACTTTCGGCTTTGCCAGTTGAGAGAGGTTTTCTAGCATAGTACTTTGATTTTCAAAACACACAAGTGAAATCTCCTGGTCTTAAAATAATTGTTCAAAAATCTTCCTCTTACTGTGTTAGGGATGTGGCATTATGTACATTTTCTATTTTTAATATATAGCCCACGGTTAAAATAATGAAAAATTAGTCTCGTTTCAGAAATTATTTATTTATGGACTGAACATGATTAAAACATAAACACACAAACTGCAGCTGCAACAGAAAAAAAACTTGATTTACGGTTATTAAATCTTTGGTGGCCGCGTTAATGTTTCTTTTTCTACCTTCCATTTGCATTTTAATCTATCGAATCTTTACAGTTTTGCTGCTTCCTATTTCAGTGATTGATTACAGATAGAAGGGAGAAGAACAAAAACAAGCCTAGCTTTTCTTTTCCTTTCTGCACTTTCTTTTTCTCCACCCCCCCTCCTCCACTTCCCCTGGGTGGATTTCGGAAACTTTCTCTCGATGCTAATGTAGACAGAACAAATTAATTCTGCTCTTTTAAATGTCAAGGATATAAATAAAAAATGTTTTCTGTCCCAAACGTGAATATTTTCCCAGACGATTTTTGAGTCCTAAAGGATCACTCCAGCAAAACGCAATTAACAAGCTCACACCACACACACACACACACACACACACACACACACACACACACACACACACACACCGGCGGGGTGGATAGATAGAACCTAAATTAAAGAAAGGTGAGAAGTTCACCATCCTTCCATCCTTAGTCTCTCTCTCTCTCTCTCTCTCTCTCTCTCTCTCTCTCTCTCTCTCTCTCTCTCTCTCTCTCTCTCTCTCTCTCTCTCTCTCTCTCTCCTCCCCCCCCCCCCCCGCCCTGGTTTGGTTTATTTGTGATCTGAGTCACACAAACAGAAACCTTGCTTGGTGGGGGGCTGGCTGTGTGAACCTGCTGTCGAGGGACCTGCACTGTGGAGACAATAGGGAAAGCCGCGCAGGTCCACCGGCTTTCTTCCCTCTCCGGGCAGTAAACGCCCGGTTGCCCCTAATCGCCCGCACTCTCCTCACAGGCCACCCCAGCTCCTAGGGGCTCTCGCAGTCCACTCCGCGGGGTGCGCGTCACTTTTGGCGCTGCAGCGCGGCCAGGGGTGGCGGTGCTTTGGGAAGGGGCCGGCGGGTCTTTGGCTGAGCTCCTCGTCCCCCGCAGGGCGGAGGGCCCCTGGGCTTCTCCGGGGCTCCGGCGGGGACTGGACAGCGCCTGGCGTCGGGCTTGCGGGTGGCAGCTGGGGCTCGAGCCTGGGAGCCCGCCGGGGTGCCGGGTGAGCTCAGGTGTGAATGCTCCTCCTCCTTCCCCGAGTTCCCTCCCGGCCTAAGCCGGGGTGCTGGGCTTGGGGTGCCCGGCTGCCAGGGAAGCTCGGCGAGGCAAGGTCCGACTGCCCAGGACTGTCCCGGCTGCTGGCGCTCGCGTCCATGCGTGGCGCACTGTACCCGCGTGGAGCGCCAGCCCTGGAAAGTGGGGATGCTGGGATCCCCAAGAATGGCCACACAGCCACACGAGAGAGAACTACTCTGGGCAGTCCTCCCTCTGCCTGGTCCTGGATGCCCGCCCGAGGATGCGGGCGAGTGTGGACTCAGACCTTCTCCCTGGGACCCGCCGCTTCACTCCGAACTTGAGTGCCGTCCTTCCTCCCAGAGCCCCCACCGGTGGGTGGGGGCGCCTTATTAATGGGACGCACAACGCAGTAAAAATAAGAGAGGGGAGAGAAGAAAAAGATATTTGATCTGGGCCGGCCGACCCTTTGTCTTGAAGCAGATTAGGCAGTCAGAAATAGGAAAAATAGTAAATGTAGGACAGGAAAAATTATTGTGTTCACGAAATATAAAAATGATCCGAGAGAGCTTGTACCTCAAGGGGTGAAGATAGATCCTTGTAAAAGGGTGAAAAGACAAGACCGAAAGATTTAAAGGGAAAGAAGCGGCAGATTATTAAGAAAGTAATAGTAAGGTGTCCCACACACTACAGTTTTATTGTTGGGTAGTAACTACCCGACTTATTTATTGCTGGGGCCATATAATAGAGGTAATGACCGCAAACTCAAGATAAATTCTTAGGCGCCCCGCCGGTCAATTCTTTTTTATTTAGGGGAGAAAGCCTGAAAGGTGAGCGTCGTCGCCTCCCTCCTAGAAGATCCGTCTTGCTTTCTACCGCATTATAAGCATGACATGCAAATAAATAAACGCCGCCGGCTTTGCGTGGGGAGGCCTGCAGGATTTATTCTAGACGAAGGAGGAACATACGAGGAATATGAATTTCCGCAGGAGCTTCGGAGTGATTCCTTCTCGCTTGCTTTCCGCCGCCCTCTGCTCTTGGGTTCCCTCCCTTCCCGTGGGAGCATAGAGTCCCCAGATAAAAACATTAATATGTCATGTCTCAACTCCTTATTCCTTGACATATATGTCTGGGGAGGAATAGGGGCATTGCAGAATGCAAAATGGGTCCCCAAAGCAGGATGCTTAGACGGATTGAGTTTGACAAAGGGAAGGTGGCTAGCAATTACTGTGTACAGCGGAGGGAGGCAATATCAGAAGTATACGGATATCATTTTGAAATATTTGAAATGGTCCGGAAGTTTGCAGTCCCAAATCTGGTGTAGGCCCTCATGAGCTGGACAGCTGTGAGGGAGCCTCCGGACTCCTTGGGGCTTGCCCATTCTCCTTGGGTTCTTTTCCCTGAAACTGGTGGTCAAACACACCCCTCCAGGGAGGTTAGGGAATCAAAGACCACCAGGGTCAGACAGCAGCCGCTGGTCTCAGATACAGCCTGACTGAAGAGGCTTCCGGAAGATGTGTCTTTCCAGATGGGTTCTGCACCACCTGAGCCTGCCAGGAGGGTCACCATCCTGCCTAGGTGAATTTAGAATCCTCCGCTCACACTTTTTCCTTCCTCATTTTTTGGGGGGGATAATATTCAGACATATAGTGTTTCATCCTCACAATAGCCACTTATGTTTAGGACTCTCTTTGATCTATGTTC